ATTCGCATTAATTTTAATAAAAAAAAATTATAACTGTTTTTCAAAATTTATTATAGTTTTCATATAATAAAGATGTACTGTATTTATTTCGCAGAGCTAAATATCTGACGGAAAGAATGTAGCAACTTGTGGATATAGCCTTGACGAAATTATCTATACATTTTAAATAATTCTTAATCACACAGATGTAATGTTTTATGCTTTTGATTTTCATTTTTAAAAAAGAAAAACGAAAGGAAAAATAGCGACAAATTTATTTAACGCCAAAACTGGCTTATACAGAATACTGCTTGTGAAGTTTCAAAGTAATTTAGCATAAAGCAATTTCGATTTGACTTTTTATTCTGACGGCGTAGAATAATGACCGCATTGTTTTTGGCGCTTAAACCCAGACTGGGTGAGCAAACCCAATATCAATATTGGGGTTGACTACCCGACACCAAACTATGCATCGGTTTGCGATAAGATTTCAAATTGGCGGTAATTTCGATCAATTATATACGTAATGTATCCATTCAAAGCCCCCAAAATATTAGACCGTGATGAAAAACAAACGTTGAAGATTTCACTGTTAAAAACTGTTTTCGGTTTAACTGTTATTTCTCTGTTATTCAAGCAATCAATCTTACGTAATAAAGTTTAGGACTCCATCCCAGCTTAAAGCAAAGATGTTAATAAAAGATATTGCGCGAATTAATATGAGATAATATTTAACTGAAAACATTCAATCACTGGTATATTCTGGTTAAATCACCAGTCTTTATCAATCTGTCATGAGGTTCAGCCAAATCTGACCAAATCAAAATTTCACGAAAGGATGATTCTGTATACGAAGCACATGGTGGATCTCAACAATTCGAGTAAAGTCGCATATCCCGATTTGACAAGTTGTTACCAGAAACGAGCCACAAGTATACTCAGACAAAATTCCTCAAATTTCACAAAATTTCGAACCTTTGAATTAGTAGACGAACGGATGAGTAGCGTTTGCATAAAAACTGTCTTAGCTTATACATATTTTTTAAATTTTGTTAGTGAATCTTTTTAGCGATCGTATTATATGCCTCGAATATGCGCACCAGTCAGGCCTAAAGTAAGACTAATCATATATACCAAAATTTTCATTTTGATGATGAACTAAATGAATTTTATACTATTTGTATGAACTGAAACGAGATTTTATGAAAAAAAAAAATTTCAAACAATGTTTATCTTGTGATTTTTGCATTATAAATTTGCACAAATGTTACCTTTCAACATTTAGAATATATTGTATGTCTATAATAATTTATTCAGATGTATTTGGTAATAAATATACATGGTTGACCATTACTGAATATACTTTATTACAATTTCAATATATAATCAATCACACTACGGATTTTCTATAATGGAATGCAATTATATCATGTGAGGCCTATATAAAAATCTACGTTTAATTTAGAAAACGAAAAGTTTTCAATTGTTTTACTTTCTAACGTTTACTGGGTAAACCTACTTATGTAGGCTGAACGTCAATCAAAAATGTTTACATAGTGGGTTTATTTCAAGTGGGGCGTATTGCAGATTTTACGGTTGCATTGTAAAAGAATTATCACCGCACGTCGCTTGCACCTGTTTCTCAAATCTCTTTCTAATTCATCATTCTTTATTTTGTTACTAGACTTACTTGTTTGAAAATTCTTGAACAATTTTAGCGAAACTTGAATAGATAATGAAATAAATATTAAATTTGCACGAATTATAGAAATACTATATTTTTACATTTTTTAAGTGACTATCTCAGTTAATGAATGATAACGTTCAATATTTTTGGTTAAAAAAATTTTACAATTTATTCTTGGTGACGATAGCAATGATATAAATCACGAATGATTGGAAGATTACGTCATTTCAAGCTTCATTTGTAGAACATTCCATCATACTTATGGACCGTTAAATTCGGATCTTGTCGGCGAGTGCATCACACTGACCCCGATTTCATCTGTAACTTAATTCCATTTAAGATAAAAAATTACAGGCACAAAATTTTCGATATAATTTCGATCGTTTCGATATAATAACACCACAATTTTTATTTAATTAATTTTCCCGTATATTGTTGTAAATTGAAAAGATTCCGAATAATAAAAAAATTAGTTCTTAGATTATTTTCCTACAAAAACTATATAACATGTCCAAATTTTGGATCAGAAATAAATCAATTAAAGTTACAAATTGTATACTAGAACCGGAATGTTTGAATAAAATGATTTTGCTGGGTGCTTTCGCGATGCACGATGTCTTCGAAGCAGATTTACGGTAATTGAATATTTTGAGGTTGTCAAAATGAGCAACGATTCGGGCGATGGTTATGTAGAGCAATATATCATTGATTAGTGAGTTTAAATTACTATCTCAATTTTACAGGTCGTATTAATCTGTTTTACAGGTTTTATGACACATTTAAAACAAGCAAATTGATTTTATTTTTGTTTTCATAATGAATTTTAAGGTTTGGCAAAAATGTAAGCAGCTAATAGATAGCAAATTATAAAAATAATGAACACGCCAGGTGAGAAATTCTTAAAGTGCGATCTTTCCACTTCGTTGTTTATTTATCGCCAGGTTGAGGGTTGACCCACGTGTCAGGAAGGAAGCAAAAACTATTTGTTAAACAATTCACCAAAGAGATGCAACCGCGCATGCAAAAGAAAAACATCAATAATAAGTTAGTTAGGAAGTTTTTTTTCTGAACAGCGGGAAGCTATTTCCATGATTGGCTGTCTGCTAAATCAAAACTCAAGTGAAAATGAACATTGTTATAATTTGAGGCGCTGAAAAATAAAAATAAATAAGTTGATTAACTCAACCCTTTCGTCACGTTTATTAATTTTAAAATATCGAAATTTAATGTAGATCAAACATATTTCGTCACATATCTGTGTATGTTTAACTTACACGAGAATTGATTTATATTTCTTGAATAAGCAGACGTATCTAATCCATGTCCATTATCCAATTTGTTATCTTTTCCACGATGGTTACCTGTATCGTATTTTTCTTTTAAATCCATGTTTTCACAAGGAATGCTCTCAATATTAAATGTGTTGTTGTTGAAATACAGTTTCAATTTTAACGCTCGATAATATATATCGCATTTTGGCTTTAGTTTAGATTTGATCAATGAGCAGTCGTTCTCACTGAACAATGGATCATTTAAAATTTAACTTGCTAACTTTAGTGGAATCTCCCTGTGTATAACTGTAATATATGTACATACCCCATCAACGATACTTTTTATAAGTAAATTCGTTATGCCCTTTTTTCGCTAAAGAAAAATAATATTCAGATACTAATATTATTCACCAGTAAAAAAATGTTTAAAGAGAGGGGAGCACATATAGATCTCAAACGTGTGAAACTTTCAGAAAAATTGTTCAAATAAACTTGTTCAAACAATGAACTCAGTATGTTATGCGTTTGTCCTTCGTCGTTAGTGTTCTATTTGATGTTTTTGTTTTCTATTAACAATCTAATACACTCTCATACCGTTGATTTGTGGTATATTCCACTTCCTGAAATCCCATTTTTCCTATGACCTTTATGGAATTCCTAGTTTATCTTACGGTTATGAAATAATCCAAACTGCTCGACAAAGACGTCAGGGATTGGCAATATCTATTGTGACTATCACGCTCTAGAAATATTTTTGTTGCAACTATTGTCTGGGCGCAGGTAACCCTGTGACCTCTTTGTGTTGAAGACAAGTGGGTGACAAAACATGAGCGATATTTTCTATTGTTCAAATACCTAGCTTGCACCAACTAGTCGCCTACTGTCTATCTTAAACAATAAAAATGATCTATTGTTAAAATACCAAGAAAAACATAAAACCAGAAGCCAAAAAAAACGGAAATTAGTATAAACTAAGTAAAAATAACAAGTCGGTAAAATTACCAAACTTTCAACATGATTATAGTTAAAGCACTAAGGCCATTTTAATCATCCCAAACTCATGTTTTTCATGTCGTAAAATAATAATACTATACATTGTTTTCCATTTTTTGTAAAAAATTCTAAATATGTTTAGATTATGTTCAAAATATCAATACAATATGAAGTCCAAATTTATGAAAATATAATCAGAAGAAAATCGCATATATCGTAGATCGTACACAAAATGTTCAAATCACGTGTCACTGGGGGATTGGGGGTCACGGAACTCGGCAATGTAAGGCTTTGCTCGCGTCTTTCGACTTTGAAGTAACGGCTTCCGTTTTCATGCTTTCTTGTTTTGTGGAGGCAGTGGAATCTGACCAAAAGTAAATAACTTTCTCGCTTTTTCTGATATGTCCAATTTCATGGCGTAAATGAGTTATATTGCACAGTCTGTGTTCCGCACGATCCTTGTTCATTAAATTATTTTATCTTGGTTTATCCTTTCAACAAACACTTCTCTAACCGCAAATGATTAGCGACAGAGATAGATGTGTTGTCCTTGGGTTCAAGCTAATTGTATTGTAATAAGTCTTCAAAATGACACATTGACGTCGCTAGATGTTTGCCCAGCTGTCCCTACATCTTACCTGTCGTACATGCAATCCAAATAATTTCTAGATATCGCACCTCCATGTACAATTATGTATTGTACGCCTATAGTAATAAGTTCGTTATTTGATATGTATTTCAAGATATATTCATTACTTGTTGAACTGTGCACATGTAATTTAGATATTGGTGTAAGGTAACGCCAATTTAGTTTTAAGTTATCAGTAAAAAGTTCGTACGGCGAATCGGAAATTTTGCAGAACAAGCCTATTTTTTCTTTGGCGTGTCAGAATAGAAACATAATATTTTTTCAGAATCAAAAAAAAGGGACATCATAATTTTTATAAAGTGCGTGTAGATAGGCGGCACATATAGATGATTGCACTATTGTGCCAATCCCCTAGCCTTCAATAATTGAGAATGATCGTTTACCAACGATATCTAAATATATATTGTATTTTTCTTTCCAGGTTGCTACTGGTGGCGTTCCTAACTGCGCTGTGTCTTGTAAATCGCCATATTTTACGAAAGACCAAATTATGTTCTCAGAAATGTGGATAAAATGCTGGTCAATCGTTTGTTTCGTAGTGACTCTGATGACCGTTAGCACATTTCTTATAGATATGAGAAGATTCAAATATCCTGAAAGACCTATTATATTTCTGTCGACGTGCTACATGTTTGTTAGCATTGGGTAGGTCATATGTCTCTTAGAAATTATAATTTAACTATTGCATCTAAGTGTCACTAAAATGCTCTCGAACAATTCTTAACGGACCCTCATATTTACCATACTATGAACACGCCAAAAATTTTTTTTCAATCAATTATTTCAGTGACTGGGAATTATTCTTTCTACACAAAATTCATTATCTGTTTATTGTGGTATTACGAAAGTTTCTTCCTCGGGTACAAAAATGCAACATCACAATATTAACCGTATACACACAATCACAATACACACGATATTTAGCAATGTTTCATTGCACGGTTGACATCTGCATCGAACATACATTATGAAATTAATTTTTATTTTATTTTTTTGCTTGATAGATCCAGCACGCATGAGTTCACTAAACTGTTTATGCTATGCACACAGCTTTCTATTTTTTCCCTTTTAACTGTTATCAGCTACAGACATCTTCATATGATCGCATACATTTGTCGTTTTTGTGTTATGTTTAATTCTTTTTCATCGACTTACTCTTTAATTTAAAATTCTGTGTTTTGTTTTACTTTGATTATTTTTTACTCAAATTCTATCCAGAAACATATTCAAGTTATTTTTTGTTCAAAACAACGTTACGAATTATGTATTATTAGTTCCAAAATATCTAAACAGGTTGTTTCAATTTTCGGTTGAACCTAATTTCATTTATCATCAATTTCATCAATTTTGAGTGATTAATTAGAGCATCCAATGGGCAAATAGCCACATAATTTTCTATCAATATTTTCTTTGTTTAAAATCTAAATCATTCAAGGAACAAAACGCCGCATTTTACTGCTTACTGTTTATATATTTTAGTAATTAGATCGGGATTAATGAGGTATTTGTTTGTTTTATGCAGGTTTCTTATCCGAATTGTAGCTGGCCACGAGGCCGTAGCGTGCGCACACAGGACAGACCATGTTTTATATCACACCACTGGCCCAGTGTTATGTACCACTGTATTCTTACTGGTTTATTTCTTCAGCATGGCGAGTGCTCTATGGTGAGAATCTTGTATTTATATTTTTGACAAAGAAGTTGTTTATTCTTAACCCAAACCCCAAAGTTCAGATAGCGTTGCTACTCGATTAGCAGTTTTTACAATTCTATGACGTTAATTATGTTTAGCTCTAACTTTTATTTTTAATTTTCAACATATATACTACATTTATTTGACTTAATACCATTGACAGACCTATTTCAGGAAACTGTGATCTTTTTACATATGATATAATTAAAACTTTTGTTTTAAGGTGGGTGATTCTGGCAATGACCTGGTTTCTTGCTGCAGGTTTAAAATGGGGAAGCGAAGCTATAGAAAAGTATTCTCAATATTATCACGCTGCTGCCTGGCTCATACCTAGCTTGAAAAGTATAATGGTAAGCAAATCATACAAATTGTGCCTCCACAAAGTTTTGTGTTGTTTTGATTGTTTTGATCGGATTTGATATTGACTCAAACCAATAATATTAAATATTCTGATGTTGCAATCGTCGTACTCTGACACGGCGAGACTAACCATAAAATTTTTCACTTATAGCTTTTCTTGATTTAGGATCATTTGAAAAAAATTATCATCCGAGTCAAAATATGTTGGAAAGTTTATTTTTATAACAATTTTTATAAATTGTATAGTGAAAAAATTTATTGAAGAATGTATAAAAACTAATTATCTTCAGGTTTTGGCAATGTCTTCCGTTGACGGCGATTCTCTGTCTGGCATTTGCTTTGTGGGGAATCAAGATGTTCGAGCTCTTCGCGGGTTTGTTTTGGCGCCTCTGGTAGTTTACCTATTATTGGGTGGAATGTTCCTACTTGCTGGATTCATCAGTTTGTTTCGTATCCGAAATAGAATTAAAAAGGTAAATCGAAAACAAAAGTTGCAAGTAGCCTTTATCTTTAACCATTTCATCAATCTTGAGTTGTTTTAAATACTTGAGGTTTCGCAAAGGGATAAGTAATTGTGTTATGATGATACTAATTCAATTCAATTAAAATTACAGGGTGGAACAAAAACTGATAATCTTGAAAAACTCATGGGACGAATTGGAATTTTCAGCGTGCTGTATATGGTACCAGCCGCAGCGCTTGTTGCGTGTTATTTCTACGAACAGAAGTATCGACCTATGTGGGAGTATTCGCATAATTGTAGATCGATGTTCAAAACTCCAGAAGATGCTAACGTCCCTCAACTGTCATTTGTTGCAGCTCACAACAAATATTCTTTCGAAGGACCAATTTTTCCTGAATTCATTGTTTTTATGGTACGATACCTAATGACATTGTTGATTGGTATTACGAACGGAGTGTGGATATGCAGTCCAAAGACACTGACCTCATGGAAAGGTTTCTATAGACGTTGTGTGTGTTGCTTAAACGGAGCACCTTGTCCCCCACCTTGCGGTAAAGATATTTTCACTGCGAAGACTTCCGTTGTGGCGATTCGAGAAATCAAAAAAGGCACATAACAGCCCAAAAAGATCATAAAATACCTGTAAAGCAACAGAGAGCAATCCTAGAATTGATGGCGATAATCGCAGCGATTCATTTCGATTACAAAAGCACGATTTGAGTAAAATTGAATATGACCAAAATGAGTTTCAAATTAATTCTGAATGTAGAAAATCTTCTAGTAGTAGGCAAGTACCATCATCAAAATGTGAAGTTTGCGACAGGAGCAGCAGGTCGTCAAGTAACAACAGTCGCACTTCGAGGAAAAAAAGAAAACGACGTTCAAGAAGTCGGACTCCAATCGAAAACTACTGTGATAGAAAAGAAACTTCCCGAGTTAGGCCAACAGGCATGGAAAAAGATGAATCACACGTTGCGATGATCTGTAACAACACAACCTCCACTGATGGAAGTGATCGGCACTTCTTCGATGACCCTAATTTGATGAATACTCACAAGTTCAGAGAACAAGATGCTGTTGTGCGTGTAATCCTCACTTAACAACTGAGAGCAACAACACCTACTCGGCAAAGTTCTCATTCTAGTGGCCGAAGCAAAACAACGAAAATACAGGATTGCCGAGTTTGTAACAAGACACTTGGTCCAAGTTCTGAAAAGCTAATAAGCAACGGTCAAAGTTACGTGATAAATGACGATAACTTACCACCGTGTATATTGCAGTCTTGCGGTTCGGTAACGTCATATAATTTTTGCAGTCAAAAATCTGCACCATCTTCACATGCTACTGAATTTGACGAAGACGAAGTCCAAGAGACCTTGCTAAACCATAATTTAGTTAATGAAACAAGTAACGACACCACTTCTCCATATTACCATTATCATCATCACCATTATAACAGTAAACATGAAAGTTGATTTTTATAAATAATATTTTGAAACTTCTACTTTTATTGTATGAACTGGCGTTTGTTCATATATCAACTAAGTAGAACGATTTGACTGATGATCAGTCCCTGTTATTTATACCTATCGAAACTAGTTGTCCCTAAGTCTTATAATAAAGGCAAACGTATGATATACTAAACATCTTATAAAAATGCGATAGAAACATATTATATATATATGAAGAATGTTAGAACGGCTTTTATAAGAGACGTTGAAAATAACTGTAAACCAAAAACCATCGATATTATCAGCAAGTATCTCCTCGCATTGGATACTGTAACTTTTATATGTAGTTTAAAAAAATGATAGTCGAACCATTCAAAAGTAAAATACTCAAGGGCAATCACCGTAGTCGAGGCGACGCTACTGTATTAGATACATCGATTTCTATCTTAATTCCCATCTTACCCAATGTTGTTCAATTATCTCTGTTTTATGCTAACCTATTTTTTTTACTTGCCACGTTTTAATTTAACTGCCTCTTACTTTTCCTAGGTTACAAATACCTTAGGCAACTTGCACTTATTCTGCATAGAAGGTACATAATTGAAAATTGATTTGTTTAGTCACAGAAGAAATAGCAGCCCCAGTGCACAGTTCTAACCTAAGCTTTGCTTAATATTTTAGATGATATAGGCGAACAGTCGTTTTCCAAATCATTAAGTTGAATCCACCTAAATTTTATCCAATGGATTTCATCATTAGAACTCTCATATTTCCGTTTTAGTGAGCATGTTTTCAAGTTTTCTCTGATCCAAGCTCTGCCCTCTGGTCTAGGAAAGTACGCCTTCTTACAATTGTATTGTGGATGTTTTGAAAATGTTTTAATTTAGGTTTTATGAAAACGCAATTTGAAAATTGTTTCAATCCCCAGTTGGAATATTTCTTATAGTTAATGTTTCAGTATATGTTCATTACTTACTTTGTGATTTCTATTAAAACATATAAACTGAAGAATTGCTGGGAGCTTTAAGTTAATGAATCTATATATTTTATCACGAAACACACTGTAATCTATTATACATATTGTTTGTTTATTTCTTCTTTTATCTATTTTGTTTTTCCTATCTATTTTATGATTGAAATATTGGTTGTACAGACATCTTTAAGTTTATTGTTCTTGTTGAGCATTTTCCTAACAATTACATCAAAAGGTGTGTGCATGATTACTGGGCAATTTCCTGTCAATAAATGTGAATCACAAATGAGAATCGTCTTGTTTCATATACCAAGTGATTGACATGATAAAAATCATAAAAGTATGACTTACAAACTGTTTAATGTTAAATTATTTCAAGAGTTTTTAATCATCTTCACTTTGTTGCATTAGATTGAACCTTCCTGGAGTATTTTATAATATTAACATTTTAATAATTTGTGAAAAATTGACAGAAGTCGTATTGAAAGAAAAAATGAGCGTATCGTCACCAGATCCATCTAGGTATTTAAATTTTTCACAGACCTGAGTTGGTAGTAATCTCATTCAAAGTTTGATTTACCTATTCATTTTCTTTAAAAAACACACGTTTGAACATTTGGAGTGAATCTTGTTAAAAGAGCATGGTTTCACAACGTTTGGAGATCGAGCCATTCAAATCCTTATAAATGAATTTTCTTTCCTGTCTTCAATATGTTGTATAACAGAGATAAGATTCGTTAGTAGTCGTAAAGTTTAAAAAAGGGAAAATAGGTCTCGTATTTCATGAGGCAAAAAATAAAATAATTCTTTTAGTAAATGGCTCAATTACAAGAATACATATTAGTCCGGCAGATAAGGGGCTTTTTGGGCCCAACCTTGTTTTCAGACATAAAGTTTTTTTATTTGTGATTATTCATCTTGGGGTCATCGCCCATCATTTCTACATGGGTGTGGAGTTTGCAGCCTTGACCAATTTTTTAGGCTCGATATTTGTATTAGTGATTTTCGTCAAATCTGTGCACCATAATGGCGCACAACCTGAATCATAGCCTGTTACAATACTATGTTCAGGTTGTGCGCCATCTTGATGCACAAATTACGGAAGCACAAAGTTCACTAGGAAATAAAATCAAAACTTTTAGGTATTTGTTGAACCCAGCTTTGGGTCGCGACCCATATATATATGGAAATACTGTTGAAACATACGCGTAAAATGAAGAGTACTATTTCAAAATACCCGCTTGTGTTGCAATTACCAATACAAACCGGCTAATGCAGTCGGCAGTGGTTCAAGTGGATATACACCCGGTGGAGAACAGTCAATTATTTGTTAGCGAGGATTGTAATGCAGCGGGATGATCACGACGATGCAGTGAAAGATAATGCTATCACGAAAACAAGAATGAGAAAATTGCTACATTTTATAGTGTATCCCTGGGAAATAATGTAGTTCATTTTTATGTTCCATGCCGACGCTTTTCAAACTACCAAAGACTCTCAAACTTTTGCTTTTCTCTTCTATAAAAATACATTGTTATTATATATTGACATCTGCCATCTGTTTGTTCGTGCTACCAGATAACCGATCAGTGGCTTCCAAAGAGGCCGGGGTCCCCTGTAATAAACTAAAGCGTCCTTCAAATCAGCTACAATAAAAAATTCACAAAGCGGTTTCAGATTTTATGATTTTATTAATATTCTCGACAATGAATGATATACGGGTGGTAAAATGCCAAGTTATTCAAAAACATGATCATGTTTTGCGACTTACAACCAATATTTTGTATGTAACTTTGTTTGACAGAGCCCCAAAGATCTCACTACAGATATCAAAAATGTGAGGCCCAAAAAGTTACACTACAACATAGTCAAATGTGCTGTATTCACGATAGATAACAGGTTTACCAAAAAGCATTACATGAAAAATGGTAAAATAAAGATTTAGCAATATCTACTTAGGACTTGGTGATAGCATCCGTTGATGATTTTATGTGTTTGTTTCGGAAGGTTAACGACAAAATTAATTATGGTTGTTGGGGATGTTTCAAAAATAGGTTGAATGGAAAAAAGTTTTCACAAAATGTCAAGGTTTGAGAGTAGTAGAGAAGTAGAAAAAATACTCCCATGTTTTCTTTATTTGATAACCACGCCACAGAACTTCTCCGATAAATATGCGCAGCAATTGCGAGAGGCAAAAGTGCCAAAATTGGATTTCATCGCATTGCAAACCAATATAAGCGATTCTTAGATATATTCGCGCATTCCCATCTGAACAGCGTGGAAAAGATTATACCTATCTACACACTTGGAAAACTATGTCAGACGAGCGTCGTATTATCGAATATCAGTATAGGAATAGTGCAATGGGAAAAGACATATAAGACGTAACTTTCAGTAATATGCAATCAAATAATCTTATTGTATATATATTAAAAAACATTTCGTCACGTCAACCGCAGTCCGAAACTTTTTGTCTCTGGCTGAGCTTAGATACCAACTGACACTCATGTAAACTGGTAGGAGGCACGTGATGGAGCAGCCAATATGAGTATCCACCCCCCGGCTGTCATTTGAGTGAGTACTGCTGTTTTTATTGCAGATGATACTGATCGTTTTGGATTAAAGATTTACTGGAATCACCGATTTGAGGATGTCAAGTGATGGATATAAATAAACAAGTTGAAAACCAACACGCAATATTACAAAACTTACTTCCAACACGCGGTTTAAATGAATGAAAAGTCTGAAACTAGTATTTTTTAGAAAAGCATACAAATTCTATGGAATGAAATCATACACAAAAGCTCGTCAGAAACCTATAGCTCAATAAACAAGTGGAATTTGATGCATGTGCGCAAACATGTGCGCGTTACTACGTACAACCGAAGCACCAGGAAAATGTGTATGATGTACTAATGATCAGAATGTTTTACTCAACTTTGTTGGCATAACAGGTGCACATCTCGGTTTCGCATACGCATACCTTCTATCTCCACAAGGATATATTAATTTGGCCAAAGTCAATGCTGCACCTGAAAGGTTCCGGTTCTTCCAAAAGAAAACACGTTACACATCGTTATACCAGTGAATGGTTTTACATGGCCTTGTTCGGAGTTAAAGACGAAGTCAAATATTCCAATTCATTTCAACTAATAAAATATTTCCCAAGTCCCTAAGCTTTAAGCATGAAAACGAAATGCCCGCGGCAACATAAATATAGTTATAAATGTAGAAGACCCCAAAACGAAGTGGCTAGATGCTGTCGATGGATCTTGGCTTATATTAGTGAAATAAACTACCATTCATTCCACTAAAATTTAATTTCTGACATTGTAAGGAGATTCAATGTTACTATGTATTCAAAACTAGCCCATGTAGTTATGAAATAATTATGCTCCCGAAGTATTCGTACCAAGATGGCGCACAACCTGAACATTGTATGTGTACCAGATTAGAGTTCAGGATGTGCGTCATCTTGGTACGAATACTTAAAACCCACTTAGAAAAAATTGCTCAACATTATATACTCCACACCCACCTGGGTATCATTATTTATGTTATCGACATTATATCTAAACAATGAAAAAAACTCTATGTCTCAAAACAATGTTAAGGCCCGATTCTGCAGGACTATATAGTATTGTAAAGCTTCCACAAATCCAAGCCAGATTTTTTATAAAACAAATTCTCCTTAATATCATTAAGTCATTTGTAAATGTACATTTTCTTTTGTGCATTTTAACGGATAGTTTAGACACTTTTAGTCAAGTTACACCTGAGCCTACATAAACAAACATGCATAAGAGAAAGAAACATCGCTGACTAGTATTTACAGAGCAATGCAATGAAAATGGCTTTGCAAAACAATCACGAAATACTGTAAAACATGAACCTGGGACTCAAGCCTACAGCACCGCAGGCCTAATGTGATAAAAAATTATCTAAACTACCAGGCTATCGGCTACTGCAAAAGTGGCTGATCAGCACCCTCACGACGTTCAGGGCTTACACATAACAAATTGTACCAAGTATCAAAACGAGAATATCGGTCAAAGACCAAAGACTTATCGATCGAAAGTTAGGGGATCCTCCAAAACAGAAACTGCGGTTTCGATTCGAAAAATTCTGCAAACCCGAACTGGATTGTTTTGCAAAACAACGACGCAAATAAAATCACACATTCACCTTCAGTAAGAAGGCTATTGGTACACTACACAGCAAACAAAACAGATTAGTCGATAATGTTTGTGTATCATGCTGGATGACTGATCGCCAAAGCGGGACTTTTGGCTTCCCGGTCGGTACACCAAACAATCGGAATCATTAGAAAACACTTTGACTGGTAGGACAATCAATTGCACAGAATAAGTTTCTATATTAGGTGAATTAAAACAAACTTGCATGCACATTACTCACGTGGCTTTGATTCTCTGTGTTTTGCATTGGAATAAAAAGGTTTCTGAGAAGGCAGGAGACAGGTTGTTATCATGAATATGAGTGTTGTGTTTCTTTTCACAGCTGGTAACTCAACATGTGTACGTAGTGGAGTTAACATGTGTTTTTATCGATGGGTTGTTATTTAAATAAAATCATTAGGTTATAGTTTAGGCTGACATTAGGTTATAGTTTTGTGTAAGTGATTGTGGTGATGGATAGTTAACAATGGATGTTTCCCCGACCCTTGACCCCAGAAAAAAAATTCTCCATGTATTTTACAATTGCATCACTTGGATGGGAGGGGGCTGTAGAGTTAACGTTATGACATGTTTTTTCTCGATGGGTTGTTATTTAATTAAAATCATTGGGTTATAGTTTTGTGTAACTGATTGTGGTGATGGTGAGTTAACAATGGATGTTTTACCCCACAGATCTTGACATTGTAGGTGACAATCTTTGATAAGCATCGAAAAAATTCCGGACAAGTGAGGTGAAAGAGGCTGTCGTTCAGATATTTGTTGACAGCAAAGTAGCGATTGGACATAGAATTAAATAGGTGGCTTGCCTTTTTGTTAAGTTTGTTGCTTAGCTTGAAGATTAATTTAATAAAACAAACGTTTCTATCTTACTTGATCTTTATTTTATTTACTCTCATGTATAACGACATTTATAAGCTGTTTAACCCCGAATTGTTTATAAAGTTAGGTAAAAGGGGCAGCATTTTAGAAACTCGCCTCGAGCAGCAGAAGAGTTTAGCACGCTCTGCACGTTATCCAAATGAGAAAGTATAAAATAGCAATATCCCATTTTCTCAACAAAGTCATAAAACGCTTCATCATCATTGGGCTTCAGCTGAGGACCAGCAGTAAGCTGCTTTATGTTTTCTTCAATCAACAAAGTTTGCTTTACGAATCTAAAGTTTTCTATGCCATGTCATATGTTTCTGCTACAGGAGTTTTTACAAGCAGGTGCTTGATAGCGTCTTTCGCCTTTCCCTTACTTACACATCTGAATGAGCTAGGCCAACTTCACATCAGGTGTATATGGATGTTTATAAATCATGTTTTCAAAGCCTTGAATGAATGGATGATAATACTCGGGATTACGATCAAATGTAATTGGGTGTAGCTTGGGCAAAGTAAAACCTTGACGCACTGTATGCACAAGTGCAAATAAACTGGGCGGCGCGCATCCCTAGGGGGGCGTGAGATGCTCACAGGGGGGCGCGAGAGGTCACAAGATGGAATCGGAATTTACATGTAACGGCTCCTAAAACGGTCTCCGTGTTCGTTAAAAATACTTGCTTTTTCGTGTTATAATAAATTTTTCTGTCTCGTAATAACTACAATAATTCAAAATGTCTCTCTATTTTAATTCATTTGTGTTCAAGGTAACTCGCGGTTGCGGCGACTCACGACAAAATAAACTCATTACCTATCTAAAATACCAAGCCAATCCGCGGACATAATAAAGTGTGATCAACTGCCCGTTATATTTAGTTTTTATATATATTGCACTCATGCGAATTCGTTGTCGTCATTAGAAAGATTTGGTATAATAACCCATAAAGTATATTTAATTCAGTACAATTAAAATATATCCAAATTATATTAGTAGATGAAAAATACATAATTCATCGACGCGAAATCCCCGCGGTACGGCTCCTGAGTCAGTCATCGAGATTACGCCAGTCGTTAAAAGAGCCGACTTTTTCAACGGATATGTAATGGTTTTTCATTTAATTGTGATAAATTAAATCTGCGATTGCGTCGATAAAATAAAAGCACCACTACTGCAAAATAACATGGTAATCCGCAATCATAAAAATGTCGATTACATTTTGTTTTGATTTGTATTCTTGCCAATTTCATCACTATGAGCTGTCCCTGCAGCTCTATCGCAATGCCGCCACTCGATTGATTTCGAGATATCACCGTTACAGATATTCTTAAGTCTGCAAATCCCACGGAGTAAAATTTATTTCAAGTCTGTAGTTATAGAACACTAATGGTGTGCCGAAAGTGTTTTTGTTCTGTCGCGGTCTACCTCAAAACAAAACTCATGGCGTTTTCCGTTTTTTTTTTTAGTATTTTATAATGCCACTTTTACAATAAAAAAATTTTTAGTTACGGATTCACTTCTTTATGCATCTTGTCGCTGATGGTTATATAATAAAAACTAACTCGTTTTCCTCAGAGGTGTCATGGTTCCATCCGAGAACAAAAAAAGTAATTATAATCGTCCTCGCGGCACTAGAATATGTCGAGGGGAATTTCGAATTTAGGGAGAATAAACACCGAAATCAAGATTTTTAGGAATTAAATACCACGCCACGCTGACGTAAACAATGGAGATTTAAACAAAATGCAATCGCAAGCGCCTTAGCGACTGTATTTTTCAGCGGTCAAGGGCCGGGGAAACGTCCACCTGCATAATAGCTATTAAAAAATGAACTGCTTTTAAATTTACATAAATTCATTTGCACTTCTCCATTTTGTTTGAAACGTTATTCAAGCCAAGAAGTCTGTAATTGTTGCCTATTTTTAACACACAGTAAATAATTTTTGCATTGCTCAATAGTGATGAAGTAAACAATTGATTGAAATTTTACGTGTCTAATGTAAACGTTTAAGCAGAAATTACATTAAAGCATAGGTTTATTGCTTGTTCAGTTTTACTCAATAATTAGTTCGACTTTGCCAGGTATTGCAAACTGAGCGGAAAAACGAGAATGTATAATGACCAACCACTATTTGGCTTTATACATACAACAGTGAATGGCGAAGTTGTACTCCGAAGCGTTTTCTGCCTAAACAATCTAAGCAATGGCGCTATGAGACCAACACTCCCATAGCGCCAAACTTAATATATAACAACCTGTCCATCACAAAAGCATTTTTTCAAAGCAAAAAGACGGGGGGCGCGAAGTTTGTAAAATTTTTCAAAAGGGGGGGCGCGGCTCAAAAAGTTTAAGAACCACTGGCGTAGATGAAGTGCTGAACGTCGCTCAACAACGTCCGACATGCCTATGTCCATGAAAGGGTTAGAAATGAATGACATGCATGGCTCGAGCTGACCTAGTAGCATATATTTACGGTGTGATGCATTGGGGTGTATAAACTCAATGGTGTGATGTCATTATTGGAACAGCATTAAATGACCCGTTAGAGAGGTTACATATATTGTCATTTGTCATCTCTAGTTCTCACGTCTGATTCAAACGAAAATAACAAAAATTTTGACTTTTATACGCACCGCAGGTACAATTTCGCAAGAGTAGTATTTTGCGACGCCCTAGCAAAATTGAAACGACGCACTTGTGCGTCGCGACGCCCACGTTGAGAACTACGGGTGTAAGTTGTACCAAGGATATTCATATGATATCACAAGACTGGCACGATTACGAAAAATAGATTTTGCGAAAGACTTTCTTATAACACAAACCTAGTGTCCATAATAACAGTTTTTACACCACGTGTCGCTATTTGCTTTCTTACGTGTTGTCGTTTTAGGTTTTAAGTTTCCTATTGCCCCTCTTAATCTTAGTAAAGTGTTTGTTTTTAGTGTCTTCGTTTTACGTATTGAGTTTTCTAGAGCCCTTCAATCTCAGCCAGATGTTCATGATTCTACTTCTTGTTGTAGCAGTTTGGGATTGATGTTTTTGCAATAGCGTCGTGGTAAGAATTAACTTAGTAAACTCGTTCGAATAGCGTCCTCGTTTACTGTATTTTGAATTGTTCGATAGGTGTAGTAGGTATTAGTTTTATAATTTGTATGATGAAGTTTGATGATAATTATTTCATTTGTATTTAACTGTTTTGAATATTCACAATAAATAGATCCTGGCAAAGTGACTTTTGATTTCCTAAAAGTGACATACGGCAACAAAAGAATGAAAATACAATTCGCAGACCAAGTTCATGACATGAAGAGAAATACTTGCGATTATCATAAATCAGCATAAATTTTCTTTCTATTTTAACATTTAATATAATACACTTTTATGCAGCTCAATTCGCAATTGCTACTTGATGCGAGAAATAGTGGAATGAGGGGAAACATAACTGTCGATTTTCATTCAAAATAAGAATATCACAACTGCGCTCATAAACACAAAGTTAATACAACAAACAGTATCCGATAGTTTAATTCTTATTCAGTGCAAAGTTACTGGAAATCATTTGTTAGCACGGAAGGTATAACTTGATATGCCGTGACTATAAATATATATACGACTGTATTATTATACGACATTTATTTGTGTTTCTAATAAATATAATTTTTATTTCATTCTCCATTATAAATCAGATCAGCCGCTGTTACGTAATTCAAATAAATCCAGAAACGCAATTTGATCTTCAAAATACCTAAACTATTTCTCTTTGTGCTTCGTTGCGTTATTCGACTCGTTCTGTGCAGCACTATAATTATTCATCTATTATTTAATGAATGGCACGTTCAAATGATGATATTATGATCAAACGTTATACAGAAGAAAAACAGTACATGTGAATATCAAAATCTTGTGACGAAAATTATGTTCAGCGTTGACGCAGCTCTCTTTTAGAAAATACGTCCAACCATGCATGAACGCCTTATTTTAACCCTATAATCTAGTAAAATTCAGTGCATTTTTAGTAAACTATTATTTACGATACTTCTTTAAATTATATCATTGTGAGTTACATGTTTCAAACCATGACAAGTACTATATAAATTTAAAGTATTTGAAAAAATTAGGAAACATCATGACTCAAAGAGTTCATTCATTTGCTCTTCAATACTTATTTCAAAAAAAAAAAAAATTAGCATGTTTTATTCTATTCAATTTATCGATAATTCAATACATGTAGTGAGTTATAATATTTTTGATCTCAAACTATTAATATTTCTTGTTTTATATTGTCTCAAAAGCAACAATGAAAGTCGACGAAATGACGTTTAAGACTTTTCGTTTACATGTAAACTTTCATCAGCCACGTAATGACAGTCGACAGAATGACACCAAGGCCCGATATCATATGTTTTTTGCTTCCATTCCCTGCAAATATTTAAATGCATAATTATTAATTGATGAAATAAAATATTGTCTCAGCATTTGAAGATTTGTAAACGATCCTTTGATAACAATAAAAGCACCAACTCTTTCTTATTAGTCATTTTTAGTGTGAATCTCTTAATCACATCAGCGCATATATATCTGGTGGAAGTTGGCGTCGATGAGTGTGTGGCCCCTGTATATACCAAATATATTTTCTTGTTACTCTTTTATTGTATTCGTGACTGTATTTTTGGTTGACAAAATAATAAATATCAAATATCTCTTTCTCTCTTTTGATAATCTAAAGTAAAATAAATATAAATTCTAAAAGTCAAAATAAATGATATTTATTTTCTGGATTAGGGTTAGATTACATTACGTGTAATCCTCACATCTAACGAGTTTTATTTTGCAATGCAATTTATAATGTTTACCATTTTTATTTGCTGTTGTTTCATTTATGAAAATGGGTGCGTTTATGACGAAATAATAAGCTAACTACGTCTGTAAGATGTTGAAATTAAATTTTTTGATTGTCAATAATTCAAACTGCAGTCATTTTGTATTATATTCTTTCCTTACCGACATTACATCCATCTGTCGCGCAAGTACGGTTACATGTCTGAATGGTGTGACCTCTTAGTGTTTTATATGAGCATGATGTACCCACGTCTCGATAGCTGCATCCGCGGGTGATTCTTCGTGGATACCCAGTTGGCGACGCTGTAGATATAGAAACTACATTGAAAAGATGTTGTAGAAATGTGTCACTCATTGCTTATTTATTAGGTTATTATTTATATAATAATATATGGTACGTTGAAAGTAATTTTATATCATCTGAATCACGCCTGGCATCTTTAATTAAAATTATTTTTATTCTTTATTTTCATTTAATGTGTTTTATAATTTTGGGCTTATATCAATCGGGATTCATCCTATTTATAGATAGTTTCAGAAATAAAATTTTCCTTAAGTCCTATGCGTAACATAATATTTCACCACAACTTTTGCCCTTTTTTTAATTTTCCTATTCTTATCGTTATACAGAGTTTATCATATTACTTACTTCCTCGACCTTGTTCATTTCCATCGTCATAAATGTAACAATACTGTTCGTAAGGAAATTCACAATCGGTTGCTTCAGGAGGATTTTGAAGGCACTCGTCATAGCCATCCCTGTTATATCCACCAATCACTTTGTTGGAAGAACAAGTTATGCATTTCGGTCTTGCCGCTTTATATTGAATGGATCAAAATATATACAACAAAATATAACATTTTAGTTACCTTACAATATATGCTATATTAGAAGTAGAAACAGCTAGTTTGTGAAGAAATGACTGTAGTATACGACATTTATTTGTGTTTCTCATAGATATAATTTCCATTGCATTTCTCATTATAAATCAGATCAGCCGCTGTCACGTAATTCAAATAAATCCAGAAACGCAATAAGATTTTCAAAATACATGAACGATTTCTCTTTCTTTTTTAAAATATGTTTGATGTCGATCTTCTCAGTTGTTGCGGTGCACGAATGTAATATAGACTTGAAAGTGTATGTGAAATATTTTATGTTTGTATACTGCGGTAATTATTTGTTTTGCTTCAGATCAAACTGGTCTGATTGGTTGAAAGTTTGGACCACTCATGTTGCTGATATATTCTAAATGCTTCATCGTAAAATAACAAACTTATATACGAATATTATCTTTCAATTACAAATAAACTAAGTTTTTCCGTTTTATATTTCGGTATGTGTAATTCGAAAAGTAGTTAGTACATTCAATGTCTTTTTGCAACTGCTGGATAAGAAACTTATGATAATGCAGACAGTCCTGCATTGTCAGTTAAGATTTTTGTGCATCTTAGGTTCGCTATAAATCTCCAAGCCTCATTCGGTATTTGAATGAATGTTTTATTTTCGATAATTTGCTCAAAGCAGGTCACGAACGTATACTTTTTTTATCTTCAAATATTAATTTTAATTTTCATAACAAACCTTACTGTTACAAAATGGGCTCAAAAAATAAAAATATTTATGCCGTAACGTATAACGAATAACAATTTGGTAATATCTGTAAAATAGTGATCAAAAGTGCGAACTTACGCCACCCCGTGTTACAGCCATCCCATTGACACGATTCAGTGCATGTAACGTTTTTGAAACTTACTCTCGGGACAGGAGTGTTGACGCATTTCGTAGGTATGACAGTACTTGTACATCCTCGTGTGACGCTCTGAATTTTATATGCTGGATCTTCTAAATGTATAAAATGAAAGGATCAATATATAGTTAAATTTTCAATAAAACTCCTGGTTACTGATTTTAAGAAAAATTCTCAAACGTATATTAGCAGTTAGGGGTGCAATCACTGAATTATTTGTACTTTATCCCACCAATAATAACTAACATAAAGTATTATTGTAATAAAATTGTGTAATAATGTTTCACTTAAATTCATCGCCTAAATAAAATTTTTCACAACACATAATAATCAATCATTCTGTCACTCACTATAAGTTTCATCTTCTCGTTCTGAAATGAGATAATTTACTTTTGCGTAGCAATATTTTTCTCCATTCATACAGGGGCTTCTTCCATTGAAATCGATACAGTCACCTGTATCTGAGGTACACTGATGACATAGCAGATGTTTTTTTTCGTCCGCATCTAGCAATCCATTTGCTGTTGACAAAAACGAATAACTTAGTGCCAAGATTTGAAAAAGGAATGACAAAGATTTAAAAATTTACCTTTGTTTGTGTTACAGCCATTTGAAGAACATGTTGAATAGCAAGTGAATTCTTTGTAACCAGTCGTAGAAATACTACTAACTACATCAGAAAATGAACATTCGTCTTCTGCGGTAAAATTGGTTGTGCACCCTCTGGTTACTACAAAACTCACAACTGTGAGAGCTAAATATAAATTGAATGATAATGAAATATATTTTGAAGAAATAAGAATATTGGTCATACGAACCACTATAGCTTACTTACTGTCGTCGTAAATAGTAGTGTTTGTCGTTGAGCAATACGTTTCCGCGCCGGGACAAGGAGACGCTTTTATTGAGCCGGAGGCACAGTTCGTGTCCGTTTCCGAGTTACATTGAACGCAGTTGATTAGTGCTGATGCTTGTACTATCACAGATGTAAAAAAAATGCAAAATTTAACCAAAAATTAATGATAAATTCCAGACAATAATTCTTTCCTGTATCTTAGAAGCAGATTGCATTTCCACTCTAGACTATGAGTTTTAAGATAATTTTGGTCAATTTTCATTTTGAATGAACGAAATAAACAAATTCTGCATAACACATCCTACTTTGCTTCATGAACAGTTGTTTGTTTATATATATACCAGATTCATTGCAGCGACAAGAGATAATATTTGATTCGACAAAATATTAACATTATAGATTTTTGTAAAAAAGTTCGAAGAAATAGTGTAGTGTATATATTTTTCATGTAAACTATTACCTTCAACATCGCAATTACTTCCGGTATGTCCTGGATTGCATACACATTTGCCAGTTAGGTAGTCACAACTGCCGCCACCAATTCCATAGCTGCAATTTGATGCGCACAACGCAAACTCACCTAAAACAAGAGAGCGGTGCTCAAATACATGGGCACGAAAATCAAAACGAAGTAGTACGGGTATGAAATCTGTCACAGTCGTGAGTAGATCATCGATATCACAGTATTCACTACTTCGCCTGACCACTAACTCTAACGCGGAACCGCCACAAGGTGCGCAATCTTTAGTTTTTATGACACACAAAAAACAAATCCCGTGGAGCCCAGAAATTTTTTCAAATTAAATGAAAGTTATAGCCTTCTATCAGAAAGTAAATCTCCAACCATTGAAAATGTAATTGTTAGTCAGGTAGTCCACAACATAATTGCAAAACGATCTGTATGTCCGCTTCATTTCCGATGAAAATTACAAGCATCTACAAACTTGGATCACTAAATTAGAAATGGATAGACGGAAACTCACTGATTGTTTGACTATTGCAATAGTCCGTTGAACATGGGAGATAGCACATAGTATTTTGCACAGGATTTGAGTCTGCTGCAATGTTTGTTTTACATTTTTCCGTAGTTGGTATTCCTTCGTCGTTTGTGTCGGCGTCTGATACAGGGCTTTTGCAGCTTCGCTCAACCATAGTGACAATTCCTATAAAAAAAATAACAGAGTAATAATTCCCGCAAAAGTGATAGCAGTGACAAATAAACCTCTAAAATTGTAAAAAAAAAAGATACATTTATATGTATTGATTTTCTAAGAAAAATCCTAAACTCCATATTAATAGAAACAGCTTACGGAGTTCTGTCATAGGGCAACGCATGAGATTTTCAATCAAACTGTCAAAAGACTATGACGTACCCATATAGATAAACGGTAAATATTTGACTATATGATTCACGTAACTTGCTAATCATCAGAAAATGATAATGTTGTTAAATAAATGGAGTTTTACAGTGAATGATACTCATGCAGCATTTAGTCATTTTTTTATAAGTTTTGCATTTTATCCAAAAATGTGACATCAAAAGTTTATTTTAGGATTTTATCAATATTTTATTCCTTCTATTTCAAACCTACCATCTTCAATCGTAACAATGGTTTGACAATAGGTTTCATTAGGACATGTCATGTTAGGTGTCGCCGCAGGAGTTAAACAATAATCTCCATTATCAAATACATATGATTCGATGCTGCAATAATAACAATTCAAACCTGGAAAGTAATAATTTTTTGAGATTTTACCCACATAAAACACAAGTTTCTTCAATAACATAAAATAAATAATTTGAAAATGAATGAATGTGGAACGCATTTCGAGGTCGTATGTCTACAGTAATATCTTGAATAAAAATGGTTGTTAATCAAAACGATATGTCAAAAATTATTTGCTTCCAATTGTAAAACGATCTAAATTGCAATACGAATCAGTGGTTTTCGTATCAATCGTTTTACTGTACTACGGGATAAAATAAAAAGACTAAATACTTATTTTCTCAAGTTTTAATTGCGTGCATAATGATTCAACGAAATCTAATATAAAATGATGTATTACCAGATTGACTTACCATATGTGACTGGTGCACAGAATAGTAGAAGCAGTATTGCAACACGCTCCATTATCAGGATGATTAGGTTTCAAAAATAAAGTCAGAAACTTCAAGTAAAAATAATAGTGCACGTAAGTGTATTTTGTATAACGTAATATGCAATTATCAAGTTTTAATAGAGGCTTTATAAAACTTTGAATTGCTTTTTGGGGAAATTATAATGTATCTTATTATAACATATTATGTATTCTACAACTGAGACTATAACAATAGTTGGCCAGTACTAATAAATATTTTTTCAACAAAAAAACAAGTAAGGATTTAAAGAAAATATTTTGGGCCGAATTTTTATGAAAAAATTAATTATTTAGATGTTGTTGCAGTTGTGATACTTAACCCTGATCTGCCATAACTAAATTAATGTACATATAAAGCCTATTTAGCACATCAATGTAATTTTTTTCAGTCTTTATAAATTACATTCTATACTCACGTATCTTTGCACTACTGACTTAAAGGTATGACTTCCCGGTCTATATACCACCGTTTATTCATCCCTACTTTGTTGCTCGGAAACAATCTTCGAGTGTAATATGTAATGAATATTACGCCAAGGCACACAAAATTATCATTGATGTGAAATTGGCAATATTTCTTAATCACTATTTAGTCGTCGTATTCATTTAGAAGATGAACGCAATCTTTCACATACTACAATATTCAATCTATATTTGTTCGTTGGAGCCACACACAATAACAATTTATGACATCATTTTCACATCTAGTTTAGAAAGTACTGAATGAATATTATATAACATTGGGTTACTACATTTGAAATATCGCAAAAACATAAGCTTAATACAGTCCTCTAAATACAGTTCTCTATACTGACGCACCTTTTGGGGAACGCATAAAGCATCCTCTGAGTCAGTGGTTACCAAACTGGGCTCCGCGAGGGCTTATCAGGGGGCCGCAAAAACCTTTCGTCTTTGCGTTATAGGCTGACGTTGTCGTTTTGCCTTTTTACCTATCGATCTTGATCGGTAAGTATGTTGATAGGTATTTGTCTGTTTCTTTGTCTGTCCCAAGTTTTGCATGTGCATTCATAATATTTCGGACAAGAAAGAGCCTATTGATTTTGGATGAATCATTATAATTAGCGAGTTTTTATTTAATTAGTGATGGGACGCGCGGTGTCGCTGAATCGGTGAGCTATTTCTGTGACGTACGTGAGGAGTGGCAGCTAATTTAAATTTCATCCGAATAGCTCCATGCTCTGTTCTTCTATCGTGTTTTCGGTTTTGAAATGTTGGCGGTCCGCGGCTAATTCAAAAAAGCATAAGAGGTCTGCAGGCACATAATGTTTGAGAACCACTGCTCTAAGTCTAAATACAAGATAACAGCTTTGACAGCTGACAAAATATGCAACCTCTGTATATCAGTCCAACTCGAAAATTCCCACTTGGACCATTGGGGCAATAACTGCAAGTGCTCATGGCTACAATGCAGTAACCTCCATCTTGCGGTTGCGCATGGCAAATCAGTAAGTTTTACGTTTGACCATTCATCAGACGAAAACTTCACGGTAAGTGCAGTCTATAAGGCTCTCTATCTTTGTTCAGGATCAATAACGTGACAAACTAATAAACCAATTTATGTTTATGGGCTTGACAAGATCTGAATTCATAGCGATGAAGAAATTCAGTGAACAACGAAAATTGGATATAATATCGTAGCTCCATAATAATCGGTGGCCTTTTTGTCCTAAATGAAATTGCATTAACAAAAGTCGTAGGTATCGAGCACGTACTCAAATAACATTCCAAGCAGAAGATGCAATTACATAAAAGTGAAGGTTCTACAATTTCGTTCAGTAAGAAATCAATTTTAATTCCGATTGAAAGGCCAGATGTTTGAGGAACTTAATGACATCTACTGTTTCGTTTAAGCCAATAAAACCATGGCAGGTGAACACAACCGTATCGCACAGGCTGTCAACCTGAGAACCAATAAAATTCATGATTGCTCGGTAAAAAGTCACGTGAAGAGAACGTATATCAAAAACCTTTCTTGTTATTATTCAGAAGTTTCCCCGACGGGCTCCTGCATTCTAGTTCTAGTTGGTATATAATAGATGTAAATTAGCTTTATTTTTATTTGGTATTCTGAATTGGTTTCCTACCTAAAATATAGATTCAAATGTTAGAAACTTTATCCAGTCTTATATAAATTAAGAATACTGCCTAAATACCATGATACATGTTTTTGAATCAAATACTCATTTTACTAAATGCTTATTTGTTTTGAAAACGCGTACAGTTATGCATCCGAAATCCTGAACATAAAATTTGTTATGAACGAGAGTAACATCCTATTTCATCAAACATATATTTGACCATGAATTTATACTTAATTCAATATCAGGAACAACATATTTTACATGATGTGCACAATTCTGCTTGGAGCTAAAAAGTTGAACAATTCATCGTGGTTGGTTTTCGAAAATCTATCTTTGGAACCGCCCTGTTTGACTATAGAACATCATTAATTAATACACTCTGCGCACTTTTATTTAAAAAGACTCAAAACGTTGCACAAACTGAATATATATATATATATATATATGCATCTACATTTTTCTACTTATTTAAAATAGTCCTATTTTACGAGCACAAAAGTTCTGTAAATTATTCAAAATCAAAAGAATTCTGCCTCTTTCTTTAGTTATCTGTTTATACTTTTGAAAATATTCACTTGGATAGATTCGAATTATTTTAGAAAAAAAAGGAATATATAATTATAAGAAATTAATATGTATTTCAGAGAAGTATAACTCCAAATTAATACCGTGTTTAGATCACGATTTTGATCACCTGTTTGTTTATTAGCTATTGTACTAGCTTATTATAAATCATGATAGCATTCTAATAAAAGCATATTATACGAAGCTAGTCAAAATTACAAAAATATCTCATGGTAATCTCATGCTATTGAAATAGAAAATTTTGAAGACACAAATCCTAAATATCAGAGATTTATCATGAAGCATCGTTGTCTATAAGATAACTCATATGCATCATTTTTTATCAGTTGTATTAAATTTTAAGAATATTTTTATCTGATGCAGTTGTTATGCTTAGAAATAAAGTTGTGTCAGCCATCCGAACAACATCGGTAATGTTAGAGCAATGAAGGTCTGCAACGGCATAGAGCCTCCACCTCCTGTATAAAATAAAATATAGCATTTTCACATTCTGCCTAATATTCATCAATATGTAACGGTTCCATTACATTTGAACCCACGTACATTTGAACCCATGACAATTGCACCTGTATGCTATTGCACCTAAGGATTTTTTTTGTTTGTTTCACGGATAGTTAAACCCATACTAACCCTAACCCATGGGTTTTAGCACCCGCACATAGATTGAACCCGTGGATATACGCATGGGTTCAAATGTACGGTCACCATATGTAACTATCAAACTAATTTTGAATCGAATAACTTTATATAAATATATTGTAATGACATTGTTGAATTACGTGATATCATTTTTTCATTCGGATTAATTGTCATCCCTGATTTTCAAATGTTATGATTTTAAAACTTTTCGGTAAACTCTTGATAAAAAAATCAATCGTTTCAACGTTTTAGTCAGCTTCTATATTAATGCACAAATTTATTTGTCTCACCAACATTACAACCATCAGTTGAACAGGTTCGATTGCACCTTTGTACAGATGTTCCTCTGAGAGTTTCAGAAACACATCCTGTGCCAACATCATAATGACTACAATATCGATGAAATTCTCTTGGATATCCCTTGACAGAAACTAAAAAAAAAACACAAGCGAGGTCGACAAGTTTGCTTTTGGTAAAACTATGTTTAATTTCGTTTAATCGTGCTACTGAATTGAATAATAAAAGTTGACATCACGTTATACAAGTTTACAATGGATATTTCACATAAATCACATATTTCAACCTGCAATACTGCTTAAATTAACCCATTTTGTACTCAACCACAATGCAATTTACTCTTCGAGCGTTCTCCTATGCGCAAAAACTGCAAACTGTCAAGGAAGTATTTTGGACTGTTGAGGCTTCAACAAAAATATTTAAAAAAAGGTTAAAACGTGTGTAATATTCGTACCTCTCAGATCTTTTTCAATCCCATAATCAGATATGCCACAAAATTTTTGATATGGATAATCACAATCTTCAGCTGGGTCTGGATTTTGTATGCAAGCATCGTACGAATCGCTGTTTTGCGAGTCACATTGTAAACATTTCGGTCTGGCAGCTGAAATATTTTTCATTCCATATATCATTGTTATTTTTGTTGTATATCATAACACTCAGATATTGTATATCTAACTATCAGATTTATAAAATATATTGATAACCGAAGCATTGCACTGGTGAAACTATAGCCACTCAATACTGGATTATAAGTCTCAAAATTACTTTGTACTACAAGCTAAATATGTATTAGGTGAGCATTGATGATGAATATGGAAAAAAGAAAGCTGCACGTACGCCATCCGCTATTACATCTATCTTCTGTGCAAGTTTCTTGACAAACGACCCTTCTAACCCCCAAACCCGACATCTGTGTTTCTGTGCAAGATGCTCCCACAGCTTCGTTTGCACATTCTCGAACGACACTGACGAGGGCGTAATCAGGATCATCTGAATGATAATGCCAATATTTCGTCTTCGGTAAAAATTACGTTTAGCCAAATACAAAATATATCACAATATATACACAGCACAAATTTGGAAACAAATCTAAATTTGGGGCCTAGTCTCAGAGCCATCTTTTTATGTTCATTCGCAAGTAAAAATGAGAAATATCAAGACTGAATAATTTATTTGAGTTTGGTAATTTTTCACTTTTAAGTATGGTTTATTTGAGTAGCATGTAAGGTTTACCCGACGAGTTTACATTATTTCCACAATTTCATTGTTCTACAACAACTACTTTGTTAATATTCTTCACTAATAGCACTAGAACGCTAGAATTACCTGTGTAAGACAAATCTGTTCTTTCCGATATCATATATATAACAGTGGATTTACAGTGAGTGGAACCACTGGGGCATCGAGAAATTCCGGAACAGTCGGAGCTATCACTTGAACATTGATGGCAACGCAGCATTGGTTTCTCCTCGTTATCTCTGATACCATCAGCTGTTAGAAAAAATAAATACAGGTATAGAATGAGCAGACAGTTCATATATTGTAAAAATGAATAGACTTTTTTTGAATAAAATATGTCGAGCTTATAAAATCAAGACAATTTACTAAACTGGTAAGTCATGTACAAATGACAATGAAAAACCGAATGGCAGTTTATGTAAAAAAGCATTATATACTTAATATACTATTTAATTGAACTTTCACCAATCAAGCTGAATTAGGTTTGAGACAATTTGAAAAGATTGTAAATAAGAGACGATTCAGGCTATAAGTTTAGTTTTAAAGTTGTTTCCGGAGTGCAGTTTGGAAAAAAAGGATGATTTTGGTTCACAAATAAATTTGATCCATACAAGTTCAGATATCAAACCTAGAAAAAATATTTTCGGACGCCGAATAAAAATCACGGTATTTAATAAATTGAGTTCGTTTGAAACGGCGTTTTTAACGAGTCCGCGTATACCCTATCTTCCCCCCAGATCGAATATAGCGTATCATTCATCATTCATTCGGTCTGCCACACAATTATAAAACTATACGTTTAATAAAAAAAAATCATAGGGTATTCATCAAATTCACGTACAATAAGAAATAATATTTGGACTATTACGTACGCAATTTAGTGTTGCATCCGTCTGTGTCACAAGTTGACAAGCATGTAAATTCCTTGTATCCAGCATTCCGTAATGTATCGTCGTTGTCACGAAAGATTCTGGTGAACCTGCATTGGTCAACAGCTTCGAAATTATTTGTACACCCCTTTGTTACAATTGTGTGAAGAATATTTCCAGCTGTCGTGAAAAATTAAATATTTTTCATGTTTATATTATTATATACAATTGTTGAGAACTTTATTTAAACTAATTAAATCGCGAACACAAAAACATCACAAAAGTCAATGAAAATACATACCTAAATACCGATGCAATGTAGCTTTTCCCCTTGCATTTTACGCAACTTTAAAGGTATTCTTACCTGGTCATGGTTACTTCACACGTCGTACTGATACATTCTACATTTTTATGGAATTTTTAAAATATAATTTTAGTTTAAATTACTTATAACTAGCTACAAAATTATATAGCACTCTAAACATGACGTAAGGCCTTCATCTTACACCACCTAAAAGCTTCATATTGTAAAATACCACCAAAATTATCCGCATGTGTCACATCTGTACCATACCTTTATCATAGACTACACTTTGTGTTGTTGAGCAGTATCTTTCAGTAGACGGACAATTAACAGCGCTAGTTAATACTGCGCATCCAGGGCTTGTTTCATTGTTGCATTGAACACATTTTCTTGGAACGTAAACTGTAGTAGCTATTTATAAAATTGATTATATAAAATTAATGACAAAGTCGTATGTAATTGAATCATTGGTTATCAAGTTATTCCCACATTACATACAAACTGTTATATCGCTTCATTAAGTTAAATTCGTAGTAGAAAAATGAACCATTTTTAACCTAATCAGATGGTTTAGAATTCCTTCTGTAAAAAATGCGTAATTTGGTATATATAGTTTCTGATTATACTGCAACTGCTGTTCATAATATCGAAGTTTACGGCAAAACCAGTACAATTGCATTAAGATTTCAACAAAACAACATTTAGTTATTTGCATAATGTCTAAATGAGAAAGTATTATTCAGTTGATAATTGAAACTCACGCCCAGGATCGCAGTTGTTTCCCGTGAAGCCAGAATTACAACGACATCGCCCTGTGATGTAATCACAACTTCCACCGCCTGCATAATAGTTGCAGTCCGAGGAACATTTCTTCAGGCCCGCTACAATGTTTAATTTAATATTGTTCACAATGGTGTAAACGACAGTGCACGACGTGATAAAGTGATCCGAAGTATATCCTACTAAATCATATTCTTCCATTTTTTAATAAACTTTAAATTTTGAGATTGTTAGTCGCTTTAACATAATAACATACATAATAAAATTTTGATATATTTTTTTTTTTTTTATAATCGATACACAAGATACACAAAAGTTAGAATGACACTAACATGTAGTTATGCTGTTGCATTTTTCACCGCTGCAGTGAATGTAGCAAGTTGTGGTTGCAGTATTGTCTGAGTAATAATAATTCGTTCGACATTTATCATTTGTCGGAATAGCATTTGAATTGGTATCTTCATCTGAGGTACTGTATGCACAATCTCGCTTAACATAAGTAACCACACCTACATAAAAATTATAAATGGTATTAAGACATTCTATCTATTATTTGAAAGATACTTTTACAAATCATGGGCGTACTTACCATCGTTAATGTTAAACTGTGTTCTGCAGTATGATTTTATTGTTCCAGTATCTGCAGTACATGGTTTGGGAAGGTGTGTGGCATTTGGGGCGTAACAGTAATCTGTTCTAGAAGATTCCCCTTCAAAATCATACGTTTCGCAATCGTAGCAATTAAGACCTTCAAGACGAAATCATTGTAATTTAGTTAATAATATTAAACTGATGAAGCAAAATGCACTGAAAGCATTTGTCTCAGCACTTCCTCAGGAGATGGAAATCACCAAATGTAATTTTTATTACATGGTCATATGCATGCTAGTTTGTTACATAGTATGTCTCGAAAGCGGCATTATTTACTAAATATCAATAAATATGCGAAATATCAAAAGACCCACTAAAGAAAATAATCAGTTATTATTATCCCAAAAATTAAACCCAAAATGTAAGTAGTTTTAAAGTTTCCGAAGTGTTGTTGCTACCCTATAAATTGTTCAAATATGACGGGGTTGAATAAAATTTGAAATTTACAAAAATTCTAGAATCTACTTGACTTGAAATATTATATCTTTAATTTTATTTAATTAACTCACCGTTACTGAACTGCACGATTCCCAGAACGAACAAATTGAAAGCGATGAACTTCATATTAATCAGTGTTGACCGCATTGAGTTTTGAAAAAAGAGGGTTAGAAACGTTGTTATATTCCAAGCTAAAACTGCAAACCTATAAATAAAATAAAGGAGGTAAAAAAAGACTTGACGCAGAAATAAGTCATTTTGTAAAAATATATCGCAACATAAGTTGAACGATATATTTGGCTAAAAATGTCAAGTTTTTCTCGACTAAATAGAAAATTATATGTATTCAGTAAATCCAAAATAAATAATGTGGTTTAATTTGATAATCTGCTTCAATTTTCAAGCTCACTCTTTGGATTTCAAACAGAATTATTGTGAAGTTCGCTGGAGTAAAAATGTTCTGGTGAAGATGAAATTGAATCACGCATTTAGCCTGAATAATTATCCAACAAACAAATTCTTTAATGAGTTAACGCGTTGGCATCAGAATCAGAACATCAGAAACTGTGGCTAGACATCGGGGAACTTCGACCTCAAGCGGACGTGATTGACGTTATGAAAGCGTCGCTTAGTAGAGCGACATAAACTGACGTAGTAGGCTCTAAATTTAAAATGTGCTGTACGATTCCCCGAGAAATATAGTTGTGCGATATATCTGAATAGGTTATTTTCGTAATTTAGATTTAGAGTAACTACTCCACATTGTATTACATGGAAAAATTTATTTGATTTCAATGTTCAACAATGGTTACACACTGCGCACTAAGCTTGCCCTAATGCCCGGCGCCTTTTCAATTCTCCAACCGATGCATTTGCGGTGTCGCCAGTCACCGAGATAATGAATACACACTGCGCACGAAGCTTGCCCTAATGCCCGGCGCTTTTTCAATTCTCCAATCGATGCATTTGTCGTGTCGCCCAGTCACCGAGATGAATTGGTTACAACAATAATGGTTACACACTGGACACTGCGCACGGAGGTTGCCCTAATGCCCGGCGTTTTTTCTATTCTCCAATCGATGCATTTGCGGTGTCGCCCAGTTACCGGAATATTTATCGATATTCCTTTCTACTGTTTCATATTACTTTCGACACAACCCCGTAGAGGTGTCTAGAGGGGACCGTGGACTGCTTCTCCATTCATAATATTGTCATACCCTAATTTGAAAAATTTTCCGCATGATAATTGATACATACATTTGATATAACATGAGACCCATGCATTCGTAAGCAAATAAGCATTTATATAACGCTTCAATGCCGAAAAGTTGTTTTGTCACTGGCCTATTTTTGTCCTGCTTTGGGTATGAATCACACTCGATATAGTCAATGATTAAAGATTGAACTTCTTGTTTGACAAAGCTAGTTGATGCCTGTTCGATTGCTTGCTGTCGATGAGAATTTTATTCTATATTTAAAAGCAATTGTTAGCAAAACTTTTATAGACAAACTTGGACGGGAATGATTAATTCCGAATTGAATAAGTTAACATTCGAAAATTATGGTCATTTTAATTGTCAATAAAAAGCAAAAAATTAAGATATTACAAACTTTCTTTCACGTCCTCTATATTTATTTGCATACATTCCTTCGTGAGTAACAGCGTCGAAATTTAAAAAATCCTGTAATTTTGAGAATGTATTGACTTCTTATGACAGGATAACGAAGTAACTATGGCGGTAAAAATTGGAATGCACGGCATTCAGCAATGCACAATATCAAAACGTGACTCGTCAACTACCTCACCCCCCATTCGTATTTTTTCTTAAATTTATATAAGTAATTTAAATGAAATTTTACTTGTAAATGACCGGGAAACAAGCATGGTAAGTGCAAAACGTGGTATGTTCTTGACATACGAATCTCAGGCATATGTGGAGTATATGTTGGTTGGTTTGAAATATTTTGTGTCATTCGATACTTCCCAAATGAAAAATAACAATCGCAATCAGGAAAAAAATATTTTTTGTATCTTCGAAATATAAGGATGACAAATAAAGTATACGTAAATTCTCGCGAAAAACTGATAACCATATCCTGAATTTGTGGTTTGCGTGCATTGGATTTACAGCATTCTATAGGTGGTTTATTGAGGAAATATTTTTTATAGTTTTGAAATGCAAGAATACATGACAAACAAAATGAAATTTATGCAAATTTACCGCCTATACGTTTAATAACACCACTAGAAAACATTACGCATTTTCTTTCAAGTTTCATCAGAGAATAAGTTCTTTGAATATAATTTCTAAATAATGGTATGTCCAGAAATGTAATTCAAATTTTTAACAGCAGTTTTTCTTTTATTTATCGAACTAATTAGCAAAAGCTTTCCTAATTTGAGAAAATTTATTCTAATTATTCGAATACATAACTTCCATACATAAAGGTAGTCGTCAGCTGCGGTGCACCTTTTGCTCTCCGGTCTTAATCATTTAGCGTATCATGGTCTTCCATCCGGTTTAAATTCTATGTCGGGTATAGAATTAGTTATTCAGTTATTTATTTCCGATTCATGAACTTGCTGGTGCAGGACGCCGTAACAAGCCAAATGTTACGTGAACCACCCTGCGGCGGAGAAGAGTGCGGCAATCCTTTTGTACATAATTATCCCACGGAATTCGAATCTGCGAAACCGCGCAGAAAAATCAAAAGTGCGATGGCGCGCGTATTCCCAACAATTAGCACGATGCGCAACCCGTCGCTTCGAATTTTGTCTTCGTACAAAGTATCTAACTTCAAGCATTATTTTTCAGTTGCATAAAAATTTAAGACGCTGGACAACAGTTCAATAAAAGAGTAACGCCTTCCCAGCGAGCGCGAACGAAACTGGTACCAATAAGATTTGTTCCAACATAAATGAAGATAACACTTTTTTCTCTCCCCAACTGTTTGTTACATATATTTTTTTTTACTTCTGTTTGATTAGTAGAACATTGCTTCTACTTGCCAGTTTGCTGTCATGGAGATGGGAATGTACATGTCCCTCTAAAATAAATGCTTTCTTCCAACAGTTATCTAGAATATGCGTTTATTCGTTCGTATATCCTCAACCAGTGCAAACATTTGCTTAGAATATTTCCCAACCAATCCTGATAAAGATTTTTGATTTACGATCGAACGTAAATACGGGTAGTATTTGCTTAATGTTGGTAGAGTTGTTTGAGTAGCCAGTACCAGTCGTTGGACCAGTATGGCCAATTAACGAATTTGACAAACAGCTCATCAATCATAATTTCAAAGGAGCATCAACCATCCTGTCATTAAAAATTGAACCTTAGATATATCCAAAAAAGAATGAAAGTAACTGGATTTCACAAATATACTTGGAACGCCATATGTTTTTGTTGACCAAAGTACTCTAGTTGATTCATTTTTGTCATCTTGGGATACATCACTTTCAGTTGTGACACGACGTATTTTTAGAATACCACTGTCAATTTTCTATCTTTATTTGTTCATTGATGAGCCTCACTTTCTCTAGAATTAAATTTTTACATTTGGCACATACTTATTCAATGATAAATTGAATGAAATAGTACCTGATTGACAATTTGGATTAAATTATATTTCGGCCTATTTTGATCTATTTGTGATACCATCATGGTTGTGAGGCGGGTTAATTAATATAGTGCAGGCAATAACTGTTCTCTCCCCTATGTTGATCAAACTGCAATTTTAATGCAAGATAAAGCGTTATGAAATGATTCTCTTACACTGCATTACAGTTCTTCCAAGGCTTGTCTAAACAGAAATGCGCGGACAATATTTAATGGCGTCCAGTCTCACGTCAGTTGGGATCAACGAACTATTTTTTATGGCATTAGTTAAACTTTAGCAAGACAGGCCAAACAAAGTTTAGGACAAACAATTAATCAGGAGTACTAGAAGAAAATTTACAACTTGTCTCAAGGTTGTAACAGTAATGGTTTGAATATTGTTTCACTTAGTCTTTTCCAACAGGTGTCGCTGAGGAGATGACAAAATAGATTTGCTCTTGTGCAGACTTGTTCGTCGTGTTCCAAACGAAGTATTAACTCAATAAGTGGGTGCGTACTTCGATCAAAGTAATTCTGATATCGTTAAAGATATGATTAAATCATATTCTGCTGAAAATTGTTCTATGCCGATCAGCTGCGCAGCGGCTAAAACCTTAAAATTTGATGGGTATTTATATCTTTTTTCTGTTGGTTCTGTAAACTATAAGCAATGAGTAAAATAAAGGTGATTGTTTCTATAGTTTATTTCAACATTCACTCATTTAGTTTTTAATTTAATCAAAGTACCATCCAGGAATTTACAGGATACCACTGGTATGGTAATATAGAGCACAAAACACTAATGTGTCACAACATTAGCGAATACGAAGGGTTCATAAATCGTTTTGCTAAATCCTTGTTGTTTTCATTGACCGACAATGACCATTGTGGTTTTTGGACTCATTGTAATTCCGACCATTTTTGTGACATATATCAATCAGAAAAAAGGGATTCGGTCGTTTTGGTATAATAGCACTTCATTGGGCTTTTGTCGCAATGTATGTTGTTACAACTAGTGGCGCTTTGAAAGAGTTTTGAATCATACCATACATCGTGAATTCATTTATTTAAATATAAACCTGACATCTTAATGAGCAACAACAAATCAACGAATTCTTCCTCAATCAATTGAAAATGGTTTCATTTCCCAGAGCCTTGCACAATTAGCTTCAGCAGATTCGTAATGGTCAAATATCACTTTTTGGACAATAGTAAAACTATTGAGTGTAAAAAAATACATATGCAAAATGGAATTAGAAAACATATTGTGATCTGACGATTGTACACTCCAGTTGTATAAAAGTATCAATAAGATTAACCCCGTAATTATCAAATTTCAGAGACTAAAACAATGAACGAGTGCAGTTGACTTCAAATCCCAACACTAGAATCATATTAATACAAATAATATCATAAACCCATGGCAATATCATAAAATTTAACAATCATATAGAAACGCGGCTTTGATGTTTAACGAGTTCAATAAAAGCGTTTCCCTCAGAGAACTGCCTATTTTGAAAGTGCAATATTGTCATTAGCACTTAAATATTTACATCCAGGTCAAGTTAATATTAAAAGCAACCTAAGCAAAGGACCTTAGAGGGGAAATCCGTTGCAAAACAATTCAAATTTTTATTGTGTGTGGATAATTTCACAATACCGACGCTATTTCCGATCATTGAAAAAACACAAACCTGATCTCAGCATTGCCAACATCCCACGCTGTAGAATACAAAACAAAAATCCAATATTGAACCTAGGTTCGTCTTGCAACACTGAATATGATACGCTTTTCAGCGTCACAGTTGACAAAGTTCGTTTGAACGTTCCACTGTATTATACGATACCGACTGAAGACTAGAGAATTCAATTAATATTCAACTTTTTAAACCTCTCGAAATAATTTTTGAAAATAATCGAATAACGGAATTACCATTCTTCACCAAGTTACAATTGCCCAATCTATCCACAACTCACATCTTATAAGCACGCAACAAAGTAATAGTGTAGTCAACTTTAATATTATAGAGTGCACATTTATTGAAATTTTTTTGATAAATAGCGTCAAACTAAATTAATTCTAGCACAAAACCGATTTACAGAGGCATTGGCCCAATACTATTTTTTCATGGAAAAGCATTAAAATATTTACTGCTCTTTTATATACTCGCTATTTCAACGTTCAACATTTGGGAGATTCAACAAAGGCTTACTGCTAGGTTGCAAACTCAAATCATTCTCAAATATGTGAACAAATGCAATTAAATTTAACTTCGTGAATATGTCATTATCCACGTATGGCTGCATTGTTGAATCGATTCAAAATAAACAATAAAATCCGTAAAATATAAACCAGTGAAAATATCACTACTATGCATAATTTATGCATTTTACATTCAGGCCCATCAATGAGAGACTTTTTAAAACTACCCCCCAAGACTGATGTTCGTATAATACCGATTTACAATTGATGGAATTCAACGATTGCCTTCAAACTTCTCTGGAAAATAGCGAGTGAAAATTGCATATAAGATAAAACATGTTTAGAGAGTATAAATTGAAAAGAAAAAGTTATCACCAGATTGATATAAATGTGATCATTCTTGTCTTTACAGCAATCGAATCGCGAGTGTTGTATTTCCTATCTCTTCATATGAAAAACGTAATGTTTATTTTATAGCTAGTAATATTTGTGAAATGCAGTGAAACGTTTGAAAACACAAAATGAAATGATTACTAAATGAACATTTTATATTGAATAAAAGACAAAAATATTAATCATAATAGTTGAAATCAACTTGTGTAAAAGTGAATTACAGCAAAACTACGACGTAGACTATTAGGTACACAGCATAGCATTTGTTAATGAATATAGTGATTTCATAAGATACGCTGTTCATACAATGTCATTTAAGCATCAGGTTACACATTTCCGAGGCTTCCGATTATTGCAAACAACACCACGGCTGAAGTATGGTGGGTGGCTATCACGCCAGCGTTTTTCATAACCCGTCCAAAACCTGTACACATCAAAAAAGAGTTACAAATAGGTCTACTACACAGTATATCTGAATCTCATTAAAATGAGCATTTCACCGCAAAAAAAATATTTTAAGTACACATGTTGATGACATATATTTGTAGCCTAGATACATTTGAACGCATCTTCCATTAAAATCCATAATGAAATATATCCACAAGATTCATTAAAAAACAACCATAAATACAGCTGTACAAGTAGTATAGAACATCATTTATATCATACTACTTACCAACATTACATCCATCTTCTTCGCATGTCATATTGCAAGAATCAACTTTCACTCCACGGAAATTAGTATGAGTTGAACAACCGTTTGGTAATATGGTAGCCGAACACCCACGCTTAATAGACCTCCGATATCCATGAATACTCGCTACAAAAAGTTTGACGGAACACGGTAATCTTATATATATAGTAAATACCACCTAAACACAAATTGCTGTCTTACAAAGTATACATAAATTTTACATTGAAAATAACAAGAGAGCAATGTACGGAGTACAAAGTAGTACGGCTATCGAATATTTTGCAGTACCGGTACCGCAGTCTTTGACTGACCACCAGATCGCAACGATCGCGAACCCAAAAGCGGAACAGTCACCTGAGGCGCAATTTTCAATTTTGATTAGTCATCACACAAAAACTTATGGTGGGAAACGAATCCCCTATAGCCCGAAAAAGGGTTTAAAATAAATAAAAGTAATAGCCTTCCAACGACGACAACAATTTTCAACCACTGAAAATTTCAAAGGATTTGGTCCAGCGGATAAAGAGAGAAGCGACTTTTTCACACAAAAAGAAAAATCATGAAAACAACAACATAATAACAAAAACATCTATAAGTCCACTTCGTGTACAATGTATACCTATATTACATCCATCTCAAAAAAACATATATTTATTTTGATTCACGGTGATATGCTACTTTCAAACATCGGAAACCATCGCTTTTTGTGAATATACCTGATATAAGCTTATTTTGATACTGAAGGTGTCTCAGAATTTTTACACGATAACTGGCCATGGTTCCCAAACTTTCAGCTTTGTATATTTTAAAATAAAATGAACTAAGGCTCAAATAGTAGTCATACTTATGTTGTTGTGGGTCATTCCATTGTCCTGTATGTAACAGTATTTGTGATAAGGGTAAAGACATGCAGTGGGTGGTGGCGGATTCAGAAGACAGCTGTCAAATCCATTAGTGTCAATTTTGGACTCACATTGAACACACTTTGGTCGTTTAGCTGAACAAAAATATATAAAAACATAAGCATGGCGCATTGACCTTATTTAAACGTAATGCGGTAAAACAGAATAGTTCGAATAGGGTCGCCGGTACGGCGCATCATGTCAAGAGTTAGGAATACACACGCCACCGTATCTTTGTTCGCATGTTCGAATCAAGCAGGAGATTCCTCAACATTTAAGTCTTCTGTCTATGCATCTGAAACGGACGGACGAGAGGCCGTGGTTCGTCATAGGACTAAGCTCTCTTATTGGCTATCCTCTCCCCCGAAATAAATATATAAATCCTATCCTGATTTACAATTTTTCTCCAGATAAAAACTCAAACTTGATCAGTTGCGATCCAAACGACAATGGCAAGTATGATAGTGAAAAATCATGAAATTTTTAATTCCATGCCAAATAAGTTCGTTCGCTTATTAAGCTATATTTCCATACTCCTTGGCACTTTTTAATTTGCTAAAATCATATTTCATTATTTGTAGAAAAAACTATAAAGTCAATAACTTACGCCATTTGTCATTACATCCATCAACATTGCATGTTTCAGTGATAGTAACTTCTTCTATATTCGGAAATATAGTTTTGTTTACAGGTTTGCCATCCTCTGCTGCTGATGCACATCCACGGGTGACACTCCGTAATGTATAGCTCGGTTCTACGTAAAGTTTGTTTTAATATTTAACTCATTGCTTTTTTTTATCATGGGATAGAATACAAAAATGATTTTTTTTAATCATTCTGTCCATTATCTGGATTATTAAGTTGAATCATCAATTGGAAATCCACATAAAAAGCTATAGTATATATTTTGATGATATGTTCAACGAAACTTATTTTGCTCCCAGCGTATATATTGGTTATATCAGTTAGTGGAACATTTTGTGTTTATTCGAAAATATATCTACTACAAATTATCATACCGCTAGTATATGGTAAATCAGTCCTTTCCGAAACTAGGTAGGTTACAGACATATTGCATAGATTTGAGCCTGGACAAGCTGATCTAGTTTGAACGTTTGAGTTTCCTGGGTTACATTGCGTCGATCCAGTGAGGTCGTTACATATCACGCACTGCTTTGGAGCCGTCTTCCTGGTATATTTTTGCCCATCAGCTAAAAGTAATTAATACACATAAATTGCAAGCAATAAATAGAGATGTGAAATTTACAAAATTTGCTCAGTTGACCAAATGACATGCGATAAATGAAAAGCAAGTTTAGCAAAGAAAGTGAGTAAATTGAACAATAAACACAAACCATTTTATCTTTCTGACAAAATGATGCATCTCAAGTTATTATGATCAATACTGGTTAAAAGTTAAATATCTCATCGATTTTATCTGATTTGCGTTATTTAATGAGGAATCAAATAGCTAAAAATATTTCTTGCTAATTTAAACTTGCATATACAACAAAATTATGACTTAACTTTTGGATGGTAGTATGAATTCCATACAAAAACAAATTTGAATGAAAAATACTAAGTAGTACGTCATCACATTGCGTACGTGTGACACAGTGGATTTTATTTTTGAATTTTATTCCCCGATGATCGGCCGTACTGCTGTTGTGTACATGGCGAAATAGATTAACTATATACAAGACAAATAAATATATAATATATAATAGACAAACTATATATACAAAATACTATGGTAGAAATTATTTCACAAAGTGTACGTACCCACCACCTTGTTGCAACCATCTGTATCACACGTTGAAACACAAGTAAATTCTTTATACAAGCCTCCGTTATTGATAGGAGTATCAGTAAAAGTGTCCGTAAAAAAGCATTCGTCAGCGACTCCGAGACTTTGAGTGCATCCCTTTGTTACAATTGTTAGCACCACTTTGTTAGCTGAATCCGTATAAAATAAAGTAAGTAGGCTTTCGAATTTGCTGTAGAATTGCCAATGAGATAGGAGAAAAAAAATATAACAACAAATAATAATATATATCAAAACAATATAATACTGTCCCGCACACCAACCGTAAAACATATGGCAATACAAGTAGAGATTTGATTTTAAATATAGGCCAAAATAATAATAAAAAACTATTTCAATAGCTGAAAAAGCAAATTTTTAGAAACAATTGATATAATAATATAACTTACATGAATCTATAAAAGATGTATTGGTTGTAGAGCAAAACGCTTTATTATCAGGACAGTCGTTTGCCTCGGTGAAATTGCTACAGTTCATGCCAGAAGCGGATGTGCATTGAACACATTTACGTTTTGCACCTGCCGATTTGGCTGTGAAATATCAAATGAATGGAATCTGACACCATGCAATTTTTAAAAAAATGGCCATTTTGATACTTGCAGTACCCATATATTAAAGTCAGCCTAAACTAGGAGTGTATTACTTTAATGGGGATATAGATTTCTAATATTTTGATCATGTTAGTTTAATGTCATTCTGGGTTCCTCAACGCCTGCATAATAGCAATAAAATATTTTAACGGCTCTGTAATGACTTAAAATCGTTTATGGCAAAATGATGTAATATCCTGATTTGAATTATAATTATAAACAATTAATGGAGACAAGAAGTCCAAAGCAAACAAAAATTTGTGCATGTGAATTGAGTTACACTGAATATTGTAAATAGATTTCTACAATTTGAACACAGATTCATATATAACCCATGAATAATTAAACCCATCAGTATTGCAATATTGATACTAACTTTCGTTGCAGTCTTTTCCATAGTGTCCACTATTACAAACACATTTTCCCAAAATATAATCACAAGTCCCTCCAGATTTTTCCTTGTTACACGATGAACTACATGTATTCAATGAATCTAAAATAACAGGAGAGAAAGCATTACAAGATTTGTTGACTGAAGCACACATAATTATATAAAACACGAGAAATGGGAAATTTTCTTATAATGCTAATAACAATTGTACGTAAAATATTTTTGATATACACAACGTTGACTCCATTTCTACGAGCCATGTTATGAATGTATTAACGATCCATTACAATAAACCTGAAACGAATGTTTAACTTGATACATAAACTACCTGAAAGAGGTGATTTAAATAGTAGAGGCGGTAACATTTCTTTCAAGTCTACTTTATTAGTACAGACAGAGTATTGGGATAATATTTACCACTGGTCACATTGTTACATTTATCTCCCATACAAGGAAAGTAACACTCGGTTTTTGCTGTCGGGTTTCCTTTGAAATCGAGTACTGTTGTGCACGTTGTTACTGATGGTACAACATTTGAATGAATGTCGTGATCACTAGCATTGCTTTGGCAACTACGATCAACCGCGTTCACAACACCTTTTTGAAAAGGAAGCAACAAGTTTATACCCTTTATACCGCCAATTTGAAAAGAAAAATCTATTAATAAAATATGTTATTCTTTTCTTTTGTATAGGTTTAGGTATTGTTGGCAATAGTACGAAATTTAAGTTTTCGTAGCCTTAGATTTAAAGGTATTGTAGAATGTAGACTGTCAAATTTGACGATGGGTAAATATAAACGCAGTATCATTGAGTTTTTGTAATACAAATTATTCACCAATATACCATAGGAATACAGTTTTTATCCAAGAAAATCCACCAATAATGCAGAAATGAAACCATTTTAACACAACAAATATCACGTTATATAACTAAGGTGAACCTTTTGAGATCCAATCGTACCATCTGGTATTGAATCTTCGTACAACATAGCTACTCGGTATAATGAATGAACTATATTTCCAATGTTCTGAAATCATTTAATTTTCCGCTATTAAACTAATCGAATATATTATCAGTGAATTACCGTCGGTAATTGTCAACGTTGTTCTACAATAGTCAGATGGCGATGAGCAGCTCCATGTCGATGATGCAGGCACGAAGCATGTCTCCGCGGCCGTCGATTCACCGTCGAAATCTGAATCCCTGCACTCATAGCAGGTTAATGCTGAAAGTGGAATATGTGGATATCACATTCAGAAAATATTTATTTATTATTTTATAAAGATATATATATTGTTTAGACTGAGATGGACAATAATTGAACCGGGGATTACTTAAATTTTCTCGATTCTGGTGTACTTTCGTTAGAATACACCTCATGTAATATAGCGTAATTGTAGTCGAAATCGACAGTATAGGGATACTGATTGCAGGCCAATCTAATAACATGATTGAACAAACTTTGGGGAAGACAAAAGAAGTTAAGGCGAACGAATCCGTTATAACATCTATATAATGAGCCAAGTGAAACCGAGTGGCCTTGTATAATATAAATGTAATAATATCAATTCATTGCTTACCGTGGGCATGATATCCTAGTCCGAGTATCAGGATAATTTTCAAAAAACAATCCATTTTGACCAAGATACAGATTCACGTTGTAGCAGCCTAATATAAGCTCAATTGCTAGATATATTTTATACGTAAAACATAACGTAAAAGCCTATTAGTCACAAATTCTGTATCACACCTATTCACTAGTCACGGGCTTGTGATGTGTGACGTAAAATTGCATATGCGAACTACTTCCTTGTTTGAACAAATCGGGGGAAAAGTTCAATGCAGGACAGGTTGATAGAAAGCACGCAATTACATCTGGGACTTCCAATTTGCAGATCGCGAGTAGTTGTTGCATAATGAGCTTTATGCAAATTTAGCATAGGAAGGAAGTATTAGAATTACTAAGCTGTCTGATATTTTAGTAGATTTATTTTCCCTGCTTGCTTATGCTGTTTTTCCTTACTTTTTGACTTTCAATGCATAATATTATGCGTTTTTTTGTACCGAAATCTATTTACCCACCTTCCTGCTTACGAATAATCGAGGTTTGAGCGTAAAATTTCCCTTTGCACGATCGGATCTTAATCTTTCCAATTTACCATACAAACAATAGAAGCATTGGCACTTGCCCGTCAAGATTAAATTACTCCTCGATTAAGTTACGGTACAATGATTGCAGTGGTATCTTCACTGAAGAATTCATACTCTTAATCAGCACCCGAATGGATATTCAACATTTTTTCGACGTCTACCTTGACATTTTCTAGCAACGCGGCCAACTACTTGACTTCAATATTACTTTGTATAAATGACTAATTTGAGCGAACGAACGCAAAATTCAACTCGTACTTCGAAACGGAAAAGCCTGCCCTATGCTAGGAAGGTAGGTGACGACAGTTATTTGTCTCTTTTCACGTTTTTGACAGATTAAACAATGCGGAAATAGTAAGCGGAAAACACATCTTCTAATCTCCGATGAAGGTCACGGACGAAAACGCATAGTCAGTGAACCGTGAGTGCAGAAAGTATTAAACAGCTATTGCTTTTAGTTCATGATCACCAACAAATTGAGAAAGTATGCATGAGTATCTGACAAGGGAGACGAATTAGCGAGTACAAATTGTTGTTCGCTGCTCACTGACTTACTATATATAGGCTGCTTCAAACACAAATCTTTCTCGAGAAATATGACGTGGTCTACGTCGATTTCTGCATTGCACAAAAATGATGCCACTACAAGGCGTCTTAATTTTCAATTTCCGTTCTTTTAGTGCAATGCAGTTCGACAAACTATTCACCGCATTAAGCATGTAACGCAAAAGCTCTGGATCTACGCAGATGTGTGTGTTGCTTTTTTACAGGACTGGTGAGATTGGTATTAAAAGATTGTTTTCTCTGTATGTGTACTACCATTAGTGCGATAAAAATGTGTCGTGAATAATCTTTTATGAACGTATACGACATGCTGGTGCTGATGTATTCTAAGCGAATTTGAATACCCGAATAGGTTACGCTTCTTGTTGTAAGATATGGGATTGGTATACCTTTATAGTAATTTCGATACCATATTAAAGTTTACAAACAACATGTCTTTCGAAAGAAAATAAATTATATCAATACTTGACCACGGGTTCGCAAAATAAAATAATATCAAAACACGCTATTGAAACTTGCATTTTACTGCTTTCTTGGAGAATCGCTAAAATTTCAACAGTTGCAACATGTTTTGATATGCATCAAAGCCATCCCTATCGTACAAAAAACAATCAAATTATTTTCCTTTTTTTAGTGTCTTCCACAATAACCTAATGCAAATAATCTTCATAACAAATTAAAAATCTCTCCTTGATAATACGTAGTCTAAAGCTAGGTTTGCCGATTCTAACCGAGTACAATGGCAACGGTGACAACACTGAATCCATTCTTCCGTCGTTCACAATATATAGCGTTCCAAATATAAGTCACTTCCTTATTGAGAGTCTCGCATGACAAGCTAGGTGGCTGACATTGTTTTATTCTTCGTGTAATACAAACGTTAATAATTTAATACGACATGTGTTTAACCATTTCCAAAAGACACCTTCCGAACTAAATTGAGTCAAATGGGAGGTATGTGTATATGTCTATCTTCCATATTCGCCTCATAGTAACGCTCGAATCGACTCAAACTCGAAAGTATTTTTAAACTACCGACCTTTAATAGCCGACAAGTACCTAGAAACTTGATGCAAAAAGAGTGACAGTAGTATGACAATAGTGCAATCAGTAACTAACTATAAATTGCAAATTTTGTCCAGATGTATATTTCGAAAAAGCAATCCTTATTCAAGAGTCAAAGTGGAAAGTTGCAAAACTCTGAAACCAAAGCACGCTTGAGCATACATTATCCATATTAATATTCTGACACTGTTCTCGCTAGCGAATAAATTAGTTTCTAAGCTCGCCCGAAAATCAACAATGCCGTTGGCAAGAGATTTACTCCATCCCTCCGCAGAGGAAGAAAGAAGATGTCACAAGAAAAAAAGATTCTGTACTAAAGTAGTACGAAACAAGACAAGCTGAACAGCAGCGCAATAGCCAATCTGATATGGCACCCAAATTGGCAAAACCAAAAATCTTGCAGATTTGTAACCGAATGTTATTTAACAAGCTGCAAAATTTACAAGAATATCAAGCGCTTGCGAACATCTAATGCAGTGGTTCTCAAACTTTTTTAGTCCCAGAGCCGCATTTCAAACCTCAAAGTTATGAAGAGCCGCACACAAACAACGCAAGGTAAAATAGCAACAAACCTTGAGCGCGTATTTAAAATACCAAGTCATCGTAACAACAACACACGTAACAACTAGGACTGGGTAAAATATTCGAATAATAAAATATTCGAATGGCATTTTACTATTCGAATATCCGGTACTACGTGACCTGCACCGCTCTGCTTGGACACCGAACTCGCGCCAATCCTGAATTGTGCGAGATTTCCCAACGGCGTTCGCTATCAGAAAAAAAAAGACAAATTTGAAAAGTCGTTGTCTTTGCGGTATGGTGTTATATGCTTATCTTTGCATTTAACGTATCGTTTCAATTCCATAATTTGCAAAAAAACGTACCGACCGTTCCGTAAATTTAGAAACGTCAAACCAGATTAGTTATTTAAAAAAAATTTCCCAGATTTTAAACTCCGCATGCTTGGTGACATCACTGACATGTCATCAGCCATTTCTTGCATTACCGAACATAAAGTTGAATAAAATTAAATGGTAAAATGACTTTTCGGCGTTCCATTGTGAAAAAGGCGATTTTAGGTAGTTAGAAAACTCTAGTTATATAAATAGCATGGACTTTTAAAAATGACCAAAAGTTTTTCCGAAAGCTGGTATGAGTTATTTGTATGAAAAACACTCATTAAGTTGTAACCAGATAAGAAATGTCATGTCCTAATCCCTACACACTTTGTATTAGCTCTTTAGCGATCCCTTCCATTCTTGGCCAAGTAATGTTACGAATATGTAAACATTTTACTCGACCATGCATAGCCGTTGAGCCAAGAGTAGAACGTAGAATTAATCGTGAATTTCGTTTTAACAATGCACACTGATTCGTTCACGAATTGTTGTGTCTATTATCATCGAAATTATTTCAATTGTTAAATTTTGAAGCATTCAGACATAATAATTAAGCCAGCGTTTCCCAACCTTTTTCGGTCGCGGACTAATTTTTCACCGGCGAAAACCTTTGCGAACTCAAGGTACGTTTATTGCAACCGTACTCTAGTGAAGGAGCAATAAAACCAAGCACAACGCAATTTGAACGAATTTTAAAATCGAGAATTCGCCGCAAATACGCGTCCGTTAAAAGAGCCGCCGTTTTAGGGTATAACACCCTTTTCTGTCGCACTATATTCAATCAATGACAACGACGAGAATTTAAAATGACTTTCTATTTTAATTGTGTTCATGGTAACTCGTAATTGCGTCGACTTACGATCAAGATGATAGCATTACTTCTTTAGAATGTCACAGCAATCTGCTAACATATTGCCGACATATCTGCTAACCAATTACATTTAGTTTTTATACAAATTTTTAGAGATCTTGCGAATTTGTTATCGTCGTTAAAAAAAATCCTATTGTCTGCTATAAATTTCCAGAAAGTACACTTTGATTTAGTTCTTATTACAATATATTTAAAGTATATTAGTAAATCAAAAATCCATATTCACCGCATTGCTTAATCATTAATTTAATGGTGATCATTTTAATCTGCGGTTGTGTTGACGAAATAAAAGCAATACTAATCAGAAAATATCATGACAATCCGTGGACACATAAATGCGTAGTAAAGTGCCAGATTATATTTTGTTTTGAATCACATTTTTGTGAGTTCATTATTCAACAAGTCTGAGCTGTTCGTACGACACTTACGGCGCTTCGGTACTGTACGTACCAATGTGGAGGCCTAAGGGAAAATGTCCTGGTACATATACTACACAACTACAGTTTCACCCGAAATTTTGCGATTTGCAATGTCTAACGAAGTGTTTTTTATCGGTCGCGTACAATCATAAAACAAAAGTATGGTGTATTCCGTTTTATTTTTAGTATTTTGTATTGCCGCTTTTCAATTCAGAAAATTTGGGTTGCCACCATTCGCAAGTACTAGAATAAATTTATACCTCGTAGTTCGAACTCGCGAGAAACACCACGCGTGTGCTCGAGTTTTCGTCGGAAATTCGCAAGTGAGTTGTGAAATCCAATCGTTTTGACCTGTCGCCTCACCTGTTACCAAATTTTGGAATAGTGAATTGCTATTCTAATAGTTGAATATTCGAATATATGCACAGCCATACTCAGTAACTAGTAATAATTGACTTGATTAATATTATGTGAATAAACTTGCTTTTTATATTTTATGTGAATTTTAACGTAAATCGTAACTTGGCTGATAGTTAACTTTCGCAAAAACGTTTGCGACCTTGCGGACGCATTCAAACGCTACGCGGACCCATTTGAGACCGCGGACTCGGGTTGGGAAACGCTGGATTAAGCCTTACGGCATGACATAATCAAAATCATCAAGTGGGAGTGCTGAATTTGCAAATTCCGTAAAGAAAAGTATTTTAGCTATAAAAACCATCGGGGTGTTGTTTTGTTGAAAAAAAAAACGTTAAAACTTTAAGGAATTAGTTATAATTAGCGTCTGACCCTTTATTAGGCACAATAGCCTAGAAATGCATTTATTGACAATTTATTCAATCGCTATTTTAAATCAACATTCAGGATTCACGCAATCGTAAATTTGCTAGGTTTATCTATCTAATACTAAAATAACACGAACATCATAGAAAAGCATGAGAAACTCACTTACCGGTCTCGGTTACCGTTCACTTTAAACAGGCACAGTTAATTTACAAGCGGTGATAAGGGAAGCGGTGATCAAATCCAAGGCAGAGGATAAAACTCAGAATAAAATTAATTTGGTTTTGAAATCAGCCCTTAATGTATTCAACAGCTGTCGCTGATGTGAACGCAAGGGTATACTGGAAATATGAAACTTCGATATCCGGCGACCTCTTATTCTTGCAAAAAACGAGAAAGGGCGGGAATATAGAACACCAACTTTAGGATATCGCCGCCGAAACGATCGCGGTGACAAAGGCAATCAGCGATTATGATGAAATTAACCATTAACCATGCAGTGGAAAACGCTTTATTGCCGTCTTTTCAATGTTTTTTTTAGTTTTCAAATGGAGTATAGACCCCCGACGTTTTGGATCCCTGTTATGTATAAAAATATTCATTATTCGACTATTCGGTATTCGTTATAAATATTCAAATTATTCGATTCGAAAAAAGATTCGGTTTTGCCCACCCTAGACTAACAGCCATCTGATTTGGCTTTGATTTCTATTAAGTTTGTCAAAGCGGGTCGTAATCGTGGAGGATGCAAGGTGCAGTAACTGCTTGAGATGATCACCAGATATTTCGGTACTATTTTAGATTGCTGGAAAAAAAATTAAAATGCTCTAAAAATTAAAATAATCATTGAATTATTTGATTTATACATAATATTCGGAAATGCGACAAAAACTGAAAATCCACAGAAACAAGCCAATGATTACAGCCATGTCTAAAATCTTTGCAAGTAAAAAGTGTTCGAGTGGCCGCAAAAACGCTTACTGTTGCGTCACT